CAGATAAGGGAAAATAGAAATCTTGTGCTTTTCCCTGCATTAGCCAAGCTAGAACTTAGTGCTTATAATGAAGAAGTTGGTATGGTCATACCCTTCTAGGACCCTTCAGAATGTTTCACCATACAAATGTTTAGGTAGCTAAACATTGCTGTTTCTTTCAACAGCTTATGCCTGTGTGATTTTTGTTTTTAATAAAAACATGTTTGGTTTTGAAGTCTCTGCCACTATCATAAAGGAGATATTTTAAAATATACCCACATACCTTCTCTACCCCGAGTTAGTTGGTTTTTTACAATTTAATTTTTATGTTTTCAACATCATTTGGAGGTTTTCCTATTTAATATTTCAAATATTTTTTTTCCATGAATCTTGTATTCTGTTTATTTAATAGCCTCCTAACCTAACAATGATTATCGTTTGTTTGTTTGTTTTTTAAAGTTTGTTTCAAGTTTTTGGCCTGCTTTCCAGGTTTCCTGATGACACATCCCAGAGTATGGATTATGACCTCATTCTGTAATTGTTTTGCTATATGTGGGTATTGGTTTCAGACCAGCTGCCTGGGCTTTACATCTTTTTTTTCCCCAAAGAGGATTGTGCCTACTCACTTTATACTCTGCCTGCCCAATTCCTGTGGTCTTTTATTGCTGTGCTTGAAAGAGCTTTGTCCTTGAATCTTCTCAAATCACATATTACTTTTTCATGGAATCCTCTCCTACAAAAAATTCTTTCTGTGTTTATCATTTGTTCTGCATTTATTTATACTGAATTCTCTTATATTTTTAATTAAATATTGTGTGCTAAAGTAAAGAAAAATATTCAAAAGGCAGTCTGTATTCTAATGCACATCTCTAACAAATTAGCACCGATGTGCAGATGGGAGAATGCTTGCAGTGAGGGAAGTGCATTGGTTCACATAGCTGAACAAGGTACACAACACAACTGGGAAGAGCAAGCCACAGAGGAATACAATACTCTGTGTGATGACCATTCACCCTGCCTGATTCACTTGGCCACATGCTGTACCTTGAAGCATTTATTGGATAGATGGGAGGCACTTTATCCTTGTTATCTCATTAACTTAGCACTAGCCTTGGTTTTCCTCATGCCTGCTTCCATTGAGCTGTCAGTATCATTTTTTTAAGATAAAATCTTATATGTAGTATTTATTTACTAGTTATTATGGGTATCTTTCCCACTGATGAGTTTAAGATTGTTATGATAGTGCTATTGATGGATCACATAGATTTTGAGTAATCTGCTTTTAATCTTAATTTCCTCAAAAGTTCTTATTTTAGGATGTAATTTTTACATAATATGAAGTTTTTCAGAATGCTCATTTCAAGTTATAAGAAATGTTCCTAGCATGTGATATTTGTTACATTCATTGAGTTTACCATTTTGAAGGAGAAAAAAACTTGGACATGTGAAACAAAGTGTTAAATTTATTTTAATCAGTTATTTTCATGGTTGCTGAAATCAGTAGTTATTATGTATTATATATGTACACACCTTTAGAATATGCATGTATACC